GGTCCGGGTGACGGCCAGTGAGCTCTCAATGGGCTCTCCCCATGGCAGTTACTGGCAAAGCTCGTATCCAGTGCTGTTGGTGAGTCAAAACCCAGCTATGCTTGCAGTGCATCACTCTTCCCAACCTGTCTGCTTTCTAGGATCAGGAACAGAGGTGCACTTGAGCTGGCTTTTGAACTTGAGCTGGCTTTTGTGGAACCTTTTTTTGCAGAGTGGACATTCCCATATATAAGCAAAGAACAGGAGAAAGAAAAACAGAAGCTTCTTTGCCCTAAGACCTTTGGGAATCTGGTCAGGGAAAATCTTATTGTTGTGGGCAGTTCTGTGCACTGGAAGGGAAAAAATTGGGCTCTTGTAACCAAAGAGCGTAACAGTGTCACGAGCATTTCACTCCATGATGTCACTGTTGTCCTGCTGAGGCTGTGCTGGGCAGCAGATAGCATCAGCCACTAGAGAAAGCCTCTAACAACATCAACTAGCAGAGAAAGCTTCAAACAGCATCAAAGAGAAAGTCTCAGAACACAAACTGCCTGTTCTGGGTATCATACAGAATAATTCATATGTAATCTCGATTAAAATGTTAATTGCTTGTTTGGTTTAATATTCCCTTCTTTATATTTATCTTCTGATAATTGTATCAGAATTTTCAGTCTACATGGTGTGGAAATTATTTGCTGAATTGCTGTGGAGTGTCGTGGTGGGACTGGGAGCTGACCTTGAGAGTCGCTTGAGCCCCATTCATTTTTCTAGCCTGTAAGCCAGCAGTGCCTGTGCTTTACATGAAATGCACTCAGGGAGTGTTGGCTGTGAAGTCAGCAGGTGAAAGGTGCTTCTGGTAGAGCTCTTAGGGATGGAGAACAGGCATAGTGCTTGTTTTCAGAGAGGGAAGACCAGAAAAACTAACCTGTGGGCATTTGATAAGAAGTCAGTCTGATTGTTTTCTAGTGGCAGTTTGTGGTCTCAGAGATGAGAGACAGAGCTACTCCTGTGCATCTTGCAACCTTGTTAAGTGGTCTGTGTGTTGCTGTCACAGGAAGTTTATGGTTTTGCTCTCTGTAAGTGGTGAAACTCATTAATAAGATTACCTGGCAAGAGCAAAGCTGGAACAGAGCAGGAGGAGGAAGTCACTCCTGTTAGACCACAGTTCATCAGAACAGCCCAAGGATGCACTAGGTGCTACTATACTTTGTGATCTCTTTGGTCTCTTCAACTTAGTTTGGGAGGTCTGAATGGCACATTTCAGAGATTGATGTTGAACACAGTGACTACCCACAGGTGATAAATGCTCATTGCAATCAAGTTCAAGTTATCCTGTGCCACAAGTTCCACTGACTCCTTTTGCCTTCCCAATCCCAACAAACATTAGTCACAGCCTGGGTATGGAGTGGTACAGTACTTGGGTTTTCTGGAGATGGCTTTGCTTTTCTTCACAGCCTGGGGCAGTTACATGCCTGCAGCTGGATCGTGTTTGCAGAACCTGGTGAAGCTGTTGTGGTTGTTGGAGGGTACAAAACCAAGATTGAGCTGTGGGAGTGTTGACTGATAGTGCTTTTGTGAAGGACGGAAGTCACTGGAAACAAAACCACGTCCTATATGTGCAGGAGTGCTGTCTGGATGACATTATCACCTGGCAAAATGGTCTTATTTTGTGCGTATTCGGATGGTGATGGCCTGATCCGTGCTTGAGATCAGGTTTCTATTGCAGTATTTGAGGTGTTTCGCCACCTATGACACATAACTTGATCCCAAGCGCAGAGCCACTAGGAGCTGCAAAGTAGTAAAGCCACACCAGATGCTCAAAGGTCGGCCGTGGCAACGGAGACCTGCCCTCAAGTATACCTTCAGCATTTCCTGCATACTTCTTTTTCTATGCACATGCTGAAGTTCTCTGCTGTATGACGTTGTCGATCAGGAACACGTTGTCTTGCTGACTGCACATTTCCCCTCCCAGGACAGAGGAAACTGCACTTTTCAAGTGCTGGCTGTTTGACTTGGAGGCGGAGGTGCTGGGCACGCATGATGGCAGAGTGACGTGCACCACTGCTGTTGTGGGGGCGTGGGCAGCTCTGCGGTGGTGTGCCCGCGTTCGCAGCGCCTGAGATCTGAGATTGCTGCAGTATCTCAAGATCAGCACTCAGTTCTGGATGAGAGTGAAAGTTTGTACTCTCACACATGGTGTAGCTGAAAAAGTTACGAAACCCTTGGACAGGAGAGCACTGTCAAGTGATGGGGCACTAAGACATAAGGGACAGAACAATTGTACTTTACAGCTGCTGGAATTTACTTTGCTTTTTCTTGGCAGCGGAGAGAGCGGCGCAGGGAAAACAGAGAGTACGAAGCTATTGTTGCAGCACATAATGAACCTATGCAAAGGCAACTCACAGCTTGAGCAGCAGATCCTTCAGGTAGGTCATTAAAGGATGATGCAGAGGCAGCACTGCTGCAAGACAACTTGTGTTGGGCTGAGGAGGCCTGCTGATGAAGTCTTGATTTAATGGTACACAGGGATGGAGAATCCACACAACCTTTCCTTGGCTACTTTTAACTGTCAGGCTAACGTACCTGCTAACTGGCTAGCTTCATCTTTACTGTTTTCATGTGCCTTGCGACCTTTTTTTGAAACAGTCTCTGGTCTGAAATATTTCCACTTGAATTGCTTTCCAAGGACTAGTGACATTTTTGAGCAAATCATACTTTCAGCTTCCATGTGTTAGGTTGAGCAGAGTGAGTTCTTGGACTGTTTAATTTTAAAGTCTGTGTTTTCGCATTTCCTGTAGAGGCAGAGAGATCTTTCTCTGTGTGGTTGGTTAACTTTGGCTGGACAACAGGTGCCTGCCAAGCTGCTTTATCACTCCTCCTCCTTAACAGGGCAGGGGGATTAAAATACAACAAAAGGTTTATGGGTTGAGATAAGGACAGGGACGTCATGCAGCAATTACTGTCACAGGCAAAACAGACTCAACTTTGGGAAAAGTAATTTATTTTATTGCAAATTAGCATCAGAGTAAGATAATAAGAAATAAGAACAAATCTTAAAACACTTTCCCCCCCACCTCTCCCTTCTTCCCCACCTCAACTTTACTCCCAATTTCTTTACCTCCTCCACACAAGCAGTGCAGGGGGACAAGGAGTGGTGGTTGCAGTCAGTTCATCACATAGTCTCTGCTGCTCCTTCCTCCTCAGGGGGAGGACTCCTCACACTCTTCCCCTGCTCCAGTGTGGGTTCCCTCCCATGGGAGACAGTCCTCCAAAAACTTCTCCAGTGTGAGTCCTTCCCTCTTCATGAACTGCTCCAGCATGGGTCCCCCATGGTGTCACAGGTCCTGCCAGCAAACCTGCTCCAGCCTGGGCTTTTCTCCACAGGGTCACAGGTCCTGCCAGGAGTCTGCTCTAGTGCGGGCTTCCCATGGGATCACAGCCTTCTTTGGGCACATCCACCTGCTCTGGTGTGGGGTCCTCCATGGGCTGCAGGTGGATCTCTGCTCCACCGTGGACCTCCATGGGCTGCAGGTGGATCTCTGCTCCACTGTGGACCTCCATGGGCTGCAGGGCCACAGCCTGCCTCACCATGGTCTTCACCATGGGCTGCAGGGGAATCTCTGCTTGAGCACCTGCTCCTGCTCCTTCTTCACTGACCTTGGTGTCTGCAGAGTTGTTTCTCACATATTCTCGGTCCTCTTCCCCAGCTGCTGTGGTGCAGTGATTTTTACCTTTTCTTAAATATCTTATCACAGAGACACTACCAATGTTGCTGATGGGCTCAGCTTTGGCCGTTGGTGGGTCCATTTTGGATCCGGCTGGCACTGGTTCTGTCTGACATGGGGGAAGCTTCTGGCGTCTTCTCACACAGCTCACCTCTATAGCCCCCACCACTACCAAAACATTACCACTCAAACCAGAGACACTGTGCCATGCTTTGGGCTCTGGAATAACATCTTTTTTTGTGGTATTGTCTGCAGTGGATCACAGGTGAACGCCTGTGCTCTCTTTTGGGAACCTCCTGGCTTCACTTAGAGCTGGCTTGGGACACGCAGCCAAGATACTTCTGACCTGCTGGGGTTCAGGATAGCTATATTTGCTCAGTGTAGCACCTGGCCTAATGAACCCTGAATGACTTGACTGGCAGTGCTTGTAGCCAGCCTGTAATTCCTCCCCTGGAAACAAAGTTCACTTCAGTCCAGGTGAGCTGTGCTTGGAAAACCTAAAGGTGATGAAAGAAATAATAGTCATCCTATTTGGTTCCTGTAGATGCATTCCTGTAGGTATATTCCAAGTTAGCCCTTCTGAGATTGCAGTGTCATGGTGTAAAGCTGTGTTCAGCAAAAACCAACATGCACTCTAAGGCATCATTCTTCCAGTCAGCAGGCTTTCTTTGCTCAAATGTGTAAAAACTGTCATTTGACCTTGTTTGCCTCCAGTTTACTAAGCTGATTGTTCTGTTAGTTTCTTTATAATTCACTACCCTAAGCCTTATGCTGTCTACAAGTTTCAGTGGCTAAATTATTATGCTTACGTTTACTGAGTGCTATGTTTACCTTGTTTATTATTATAGTATAACAGTCAAATTATCTACTGATACAATGTCAGATGCTCTGTGGAAATCTGTTATACCAACCTGTTAACAAATGAGTCAGTGATCTCACTGAGATCAAATCAGTTTGGTTGTGGTTATATTCAGTAATCTATGCTGCTTAGCATTTGTTATTTTTGCCTCTCTCATTTCCTTTATCTGCGATATGATAAAATAGGTGCTTCTGAGTACTTATGGAGTGGTTCCCATTCCAGCTGAATGATGAATAGTATATGCTAAAGTTAAACTTTCCCAAGTTAGATTGGATCACTTGATTTGAAGAATGCTTGTTCTACTTCCTTGCTTGTTTTAGGTAAATCCATTGCTTGAAGCTTTCGGTAATGCCCAGACTGTGATGAATGACAACAGCAGCCGCTTTGGGAAATACATACAGCTGCGTTTCCAGAAGAATACTGGTAAAGTGAAGGGTGGTTACTAGTTTGGGGGATGGTTGGGCATTGGAAGGGTTGGACTGAGTAGCCAGAACTTGTGGAGGGCAAGATTTCGACATCTGACTCCCTGTGGGAAGGTTGTACAATTAAGTACAATCTTACAGCAACCACAGCTGTAGGATAAGACCTGGGTTTGGACAGTGTGGGAATACAGGAAGGGTATGGGGGTGGTGGTGCAGGGGAGGTATCAGTAATACTCTATGTGCCAGAAGCCTTGGTTGCTGCCAAAGGAGATGAGCTGACATCTCTAAGATGATGGGAAGCATGGAGAAGCCCATTTCCAGTCTGCTGGGCAGCCTAGAATGTGTTGTACACAAAAAAGTTATTTTTGATGATTCCATGCTTCTGCCACCAAATAAGAGATGCAGGACAGCTCTATCAGCCTCATGTCCCCACATGCAAAGTTTACCCTCTCACTTTCTTGTGTGCAGTGCGAGGTGCAAAGCTGAGTGAGTACCTGTTAGAGAAGTCACGGGTAGTGCAACAAGATACCGGGGAGAGGAATTTCCATATCTTCTACTACATGTTTGCTGGGCTGTCTTCAGAGCAAAAGGAGATGTATGGGCTACTGGATCCCTCACTCTACAGGTATGTCAAAGGCAGACCCTAGTTTAGTCTTCATGATGCAGGACAGAAGGGAAAGCAGCATAAAGGATCCTGTCCCTCTGCCCTGTGCCTCTATCAGTGGAGCCTGGTAGAGGTAAGCAAATGGATGCTGGAATGGGATCCAAATGGAGCTGTGTGAAAAGGTATCTTGGGTCATCATGGAAGCTGGGAGCTTCCAGTCTGGAACGTCTTATTTGCATTACCTTGGAAAAGTTTCTTTCCCTTTGATGTCTCCACTGCTGCTGATCTACTTTATTCTTCTGGGGTAGGACTGACTTGCTGTGCTGGTTGTGTGACCATTTTGTATGGGATATACACTTTCTCAGGTATATAAGTGGACGATTTGGTACACAGGATGTAGCTCAGCGCTGGAAGCACAAATACCAAGAGGTGTGCAATGCCCTTGACATGGTGGGCTTCCAAGAACAGGTCAGTTCTGGGGTCATTTAGTTTCCATCTGTGCTTCCTGCAAGCATAGGGTTTCTTTCTGGCTGTTATTTTGAGGCTCAGTCCTATTTCTCTCCTCTCTGGACTTTCCATGTTGCTTTCAAACTACCTGAATCTGTTGGACTCTGTCTAGAACCTTCTCCCACAGGCTGCCTGTGCCTTTCCCTCACCTCTACAACTTCTGGGGCCTACGTGTTGCGTATGTTACATGCTGATAGGTTTTCAGTCCCCTTCCTTTTGTGTTTTAGGAGCAAGTGGACATGCAGGCTATCTTGGCTGGTGTGTTGTCTCTGGGCAATGTGACCTTTGAGCCTGAGGAGATCAATGGGTCTGTAAAAGTGAGCGAAGCCTCCCGGGGATGGCTGAAGGCTGCAGCGGTGAGTCACAAGAAGAGCTGACAGAAACCTAATGGGTATGATGCTGGTTCCCACTGGCAGTGTGACTACAGGAGCTCCTCCTGCCAGAGATGGCAGAGGACATTTCTGCCTCAGAGTGTGAAGGGTCCTGAAGATCAAGGAGTTTTTCCAAAAATGCAGAGTAGGACCCCATGACTGCATTTGTGCTCACTGCTATTCATTTCCAAAGAGACACTTCCCAGCTTCTGTTTCTTGTGTGTCTAGAACCAGTGTCTTGGAAATAGCAATATCACACATGCTTAGTTGACTTTTTACAGTACAAACTTTTTGACATTAAATGTTATCACAGAATCACAGAATATGAGGAGT